GCTGAAAGTACAAGTAATGAGGCGCTAGTGGGACCATTCAGGTATTCTTTGATTTTGGCAGAGCTATACAAATAGATGGTAAAAAGCATCAGAAAGTGTTACTTACTGGCCTGAAGAAGTAGCAGAATGCTGTTGGAGCCTCAACTTTATTTTTCCCTATGACATGAGAAGTGAAAGCTGACCTCTTGTTCCCTCAAACCCTTCCTTTTCCTAGACCTCTTCCTTGTAAATAAGTCAAGCTAGATGTACTGATGGACTGGGTGGTTGGAATGTTAGTACTAAGGAGTGGGTGATAATTATTCCTCAAGCAGGGAACAGACCTACATCTCAAAACTACTAGTAAGTAGTTGGTTTTATAACAAAGGTGGACCAGTGGAAAGAAGTCTTTACTGGAATAAAGCTGCCTGCTTGGGTTCTTCTGTATAACTCTTCCTTTTCTTTGGCACCTGTGAGTCCTATCTGCAATAAAGAAAGTAACTGCAGTTATGTTCACCCAGAGCTGAAGGTCAAACTGTACACCCTCCCCTTCTCTTCCAGGGACAAATAAAGAACCCAGACACAAGCCCAAGCAAGAACTCTCTCAAAGCACACATACCCTAAGTTGAAAAACCATTTATTTCACCGGAAAGAAAAAAGTGATCCAACTCTGTGTCTACCCGCCACAAGCCTGTGACACTCTCAACAAGGTCATTCCCAAATCCAATACCCACCGGAAGCAGGAGGCGGGGAGAGCATGACCCCCACCATAGTTTCTGCACACAATGAGGCCTGCTGGGAGAACATAACATGAATGGGAAGCTACAAAAGTATTGAAGGACAGGAAGAACAGGAAAATGGGCAGGAGAGAGGAAAGGAAGAGGTGGTCTGAACTTAGCAACGTAAATTAAGGTCCACGGTTCCTGAGGGACTGAACGCACAGAGCTGAGAACGTCCCGGAGACAGGGTACCACGAAGGGTGTATTCTCATGCACAACCGCAGCTCGGAATTTCAGCCCACACACATCCCACCTGAAAGAGAGCACAATACAGGGGCTTTACAGCAAAACTCAAAAGGGCTTTCCCACTTAAAACTTCAAAGAACATCTTTACAAAGTCTGGTAACTTGACACTCCTTTTTAAAGTTTACTTGTACCCATCCCCAGTATCACAGTACTCTCTAAACATGAAAACAGCATGAAGGCCAGAGAGTAACTAGTAAGGTCAAGCAATTCCAACTGGGGCCTTTCTCTACATTAAATAGCAAATTTTCTTTCATGAGAGTAGGCAAAGACGTTGTATTTCTCCTGATGTTAACATTAGCATTCCTCAGAAAAGGCAATTCCACATCACAAACTATCATTGCAGGGCAGGAAAAAAGGAAAGGTTCCAATTAGTCTCTGGGGTAAAAAGTCAAAAGTATGTTTAAATCTGGGAGTTACTACCAAGGTCCAAGTTAAAAACCATTCAAGGTCCAGGCAAAAGCAGCATCAATTGAACAAGCCGTAAGACCTGAGGGCATGCAACTCTGCCTAGGGAAGAAACTAAAAGAATGTACTGGAGGGCATGTGTAAGCTACACATCAAGTCACTTGAGTTTCTTTTCCAGCCCTATCAGTGACTGCCTATCCAACAACCCTGGGCAAGTCACGTACCTTCTGCCCTAACTGAAAAGATGACAGCATATCATTTACCCTGTAACTACAGGATTACAGATCAATGGTAATGTTTGGGACACACTGGGGGCTACTCAAAACAAAGGGCATTGGGACTCACCCTTTAATACAATAGCAATCTCAAACACCTAGAGCCCAAAGCTGGCAAGCACCAGAAGAGAATATATTCAAGTAGAGCCAAATGGATCATGAGGCTCAAAATGTATAGTAGAGGAAAAAGCCAGAGGACTCAAGGTAGAGCTGGTGGTTCAAGAGTATTAAGTGCTCATAACCAGTGGGAAGATGAAGGGAGCGATCTGCTTAAGGCAAAGCTCCCAACTCTAGATTTCAACATTACCAAAGACAGTAAAATTAACAGGTGTGCATGCATATTTATATTACCATATACCTTGAAGAAGTGGAGAGGATGTCAAATCTAACACTGTGGGAATAGTTTAAAAAAAAAAAACTGAACAAAGTAAACAGGCTCTTACAGGACAGATTCGAAGATAAAGCCCTGGAGTGGGCACTGTACTCAGGGAATGAATCTGAACTGAGCAGAAAAGTTGGATTTGAGTCTGCCCGAGACTCCTTGTTGAACTCAATTTTATAAATTAAGATACCTTCTTTTTATACTCCTCTCTGCCCCAACTTACCATCCAATAAGTTTTTTCTATAAAGCTCATGGGGGGTGAACTGTTCAGGGATGTCAGAAAAATGCTGCTTCAAGATTAAGATGATGCCACTTGGGGAGTCTTCATAGTAACTGGAACCTGAGCAGTGATGACCAGTTAACTACAGTTATGGATTTTATCATTACAGGTCATATCAGACTTTTCACATAGCACGAAGCAGAACAGGAAACTTGCAGACCTTAGTGATGTTGCACACCTAGAAACTGTAACAAAGGCTCTGAGAAACACCACACCTGAGTCTGTCTGGTCCCAGGTTCAGTTCAATTACAGCACATAGGTGTGACCCAAGATTCATCACACCATTCTTTGTTTTTCCAGGCACAAATAGAATCAGATTGACTCCCACTACTAGGATCCCTGGAAAACTAGCCATGAGGGCCAAGCATGTTTATATATTTCAAAAAGTAGTTACAACTTCTCCCTAGCCTCTGAACCATACCAGTAACCTTACCATAACCCTGCAAAAGCAAGCAAGCAGGGCAGCCTAACTGGAGCCTTTAGGCTGCAGGAGAGATGGCAAAACCAGAACAGGGGACACCCCACCGCTCTCACCTCAAGCTTTAAAAGGCTGAATACCGCGCCCGATCCGCATACTGCTCCCGCTCATACCGGGCCATGTCGTACAGGGAATTCCGCGCGGCCGCCGAAGCTTGGGACAACTCACTCTCATGCCCGTAACCGTAGCCCTCTCCAACAGTGGGGACTGGGGCTGTAGCGCGACGCAGGGGGCTCCGATCCCGCCCGTAATATGAGGTGGAAGCTGCAGTAACAGCAGCAGCGGCTGCTGCAGCAGCAGCAGCTGTAGCAGCAGCAGCTCCTGAGGTCGGCAACAGGTGTCTATCGTAGGGATCGAGAGAGGTGGAGGTGAGGTGACTGGCCATGGCTGTGTTCTGGACTTGTGGCAGCTGGGACAGGGTCTGCTCTGCGTAATTATACGCAGAGGCAGCTGCAGCCGCCACTGCCTCATAGGACCGGGCAGCACGGCAGCGCTTGTAGTAGGCATCGAGCGCTCCGTACGCGTTGTTGTAATACAATGAATCCCCATAGCTCATGGTGTAAGGTGTACGCACTGCTCCATATTGCTCATTATATTGCTCGGTAAAGTCTGCCACTCGGCCCGAACGATCTATCGGACACTCTTTGGACCAGTGCCCCTCTTTCCCGCACCGATAGCAGCCGCTCTGGTCTCCCATCCCGGGCGCAGTCCTAAGCCGGCTGGTGGACAACTGCACGTGCATTCGTTTGCCTTGAAGAAACAGACGCAAGAAGGGTTGCTATCACTCTTAGTCATAGCCCCAGCCCCTACCCCAGACACTGGTCATAGCAATGGCTTTACCTAGACAACCCTAACGCAGGACTCACTGCCAAAAAGATTAAAAAAAAAAAAAAAAAAGTCCAATATATAAACTCAGTATAATGACCTGATTTCAGGAAAAGATCAATTAGATGAAGAAATGTTTCAGTTCTAATGGTAGTTTAATGCTTAAGAAAGAAACTGCTTTTGCTGGAAAACAAGCATCTCATCCTTTGCCAAGTAACTGTGGACAAAAACTACTGTGAACAATGGCTCAATGTCAAAAGAAACCACATTAAGTGTGTTCCACAAGATTCTGACACCTCCAACCTTCACTATCAAGACTGATTTCATTAAGCAGCAGAATGCAAAGGCCAGTCCCCCAGCCCCCGCACCTTACCCCAAACTCAAAGAGAACAGAATAAGACTCTAAAGTTACCACCGATAGAGAGTAATCCAGACTGGATCCATGGCTGAGTGTGGTAGGCATGTTTCAAGCTTTTTGGAAAAAACATTCATGAATGGGGGGAGGAGGGGCAAAATTTGAGTTGAAGGACTGCCTTTCCCCTTAACTGAGTCCTTTAAATTGCTGGTTCTGATACTCATTCTAACAAGGATTCTTTACAATCTGACAGCTAACTTCAGTAACCCCTAGAGCAGGGTCAAACAAAATAGGGCAGGCAGTTCACAAAACGCCTGCATTTTTAGAAAGATTATGGAAAACATGGAAGAAAATGGGGTTTGAAAAAAGTGGAAAATAACCAGTAATATTAGTCAGTGGATTAAACTTTATTTTAGCAAGATTCAAGTACTTCTTCTCCTTAAACTAGAGATGTGAGATCCTAAAAACAAGCACTTAATACCATTTTTTGCTGAAAATTACAATTTGTATTCTGGAAATGAAAAATATTATTTCTGAACACCTAACCAAAAAAAGAAACTTTTCTGAAAAAGTTTAAAGTTTAACTTTTTCACAGAAGCAGTTTCCACCTAACACGATCTACCAATTTAATGGTGAGCAAAATTCCAGCAAAAACTTTTCAGTGCAGTTGGATGCACCAAAACATGCAGATGTTGAAGAACTGAATGGTTAGAACCAGGGGAAGAGTCAACAGATAGGCTATCTACTCATTTAACATTATAGGAAGTGGTAAATACAATTTCACCTGCAAAATTAAATTTAGGTTCTGGGAGGCTAGAAAGGAGAAAAGGGGGTGGAAGGACCAAAATATTTAACAAGTCCTGGTTTAAACATTACATCTGTTAAGGGTAGGTTGCAGGTTAAGAGCTAAAATATGCAATTAAGTACTCAAGTGCCTTAAAGTGCTAACCTGTGTCTCTCTGGCATTTGCCCCTGGGGCCACTTTGGCACCTAACAAAACCAGAGAAGACAAGTGCAACCAAGGAAACAACCATGCACATTCAAGACATAAAAGTCATTAATAAATGCCCTGAGCTAAGGATTTTGCAGATTCCAAAGCCAGAAAAAGAAGCTAAGTCCTTTAAAATATCTAAAAGATGTTCTTTAACTGGGCAAACAATAAAATACCTGTAATCAATACTGCTATTCTACATGCGCATAGAACTCTACTAGACAATATTAATGGGAATGGCTCATAATAAGGAAAAAAGGGCAAAAATAACAAAGTATAGGTAGGATCTGAGAGCTCAGAGTTCAGATGCCAACAGTTATGCTATAAGGATAATTTGTCCTGAATCAGTCCACCACTGTCCTGCCCTTACACATGTAACTACTGCAAGCAGGCACCACCACCTCTTCTATGACTGGGTTCAAGTATAGAGGAGTGCCCCAAAACTAGGCATCATACCACAAACAGCAGCAGCCCTTGCTCCCAATTAAGTTATTGACATAAAATAATTCTCAACTTACCAATTAAAAAAGGAAAACAAACTACACCTGAGAGACCTGTGACACTTTTCTTTAATAATGCACAGCAATACCCATGACACAGGGTACCCATTACCTGGGAGATGATGAGACCTCCAGCTCTATGAAAGGTGCAACTTAAGGAAAATAAACACCAAAGATAACAGCAATGACTCAACAAGAGAAGGGCTCAGGAAAAGCAGCAGCCACTACCTTGTTTAGGCTAAAAAAGTTGGAATATAGGTTAAAAATGTAGCAAGGAGCTGTGGGAATACCCCATGATTTGGAAGTAGTTAAAACCAAAGTGAAAAGGCTCTTTTTTGACACTGAGAACCCAAAAGGGCTGGGAGAAGAGTTGGCAACTCACCGTGGTTACCACCCCCTTCATGACTGCCAGTCTTGCCAGAGGAGCTCAGATCTTAAACCAAGAAAAGATTATGCCTTCCAAAGTGACAATCCACAGCATCACTCATGCTGCCCCCTCCCCGGGCACACCAACAGTTCACCTAGTCAAGGATCCAAGTTAACACCCATCTAGGTGCTCTATTTACCAAGGTTGTTAGAGTCTACTCCCCAAACCAGTGAAAAGACACTGTCATCATTGCCCCCCAAATCCCAATACCTCCTCCTCTGAAATTCACCTTTTAATTCTAGATTCGACTCATCCTCAAAACAGAACCTCTTGGTACAAGCACACTGGAAAAACAAGAGCTGTAGCCTTTTAGAAATGCTAGTCATTTAATGACTGTTTACTGAGGTGTGAGTTGGGATGAAGTGGGAGAGCTTAACAGGGATTCTGTTCCTAAATGTGTTGCTTAATCCACTTTTGCCATGTTCTTTATATGTAAAATAACGCATAATGCTGATACATGCTAAGGCAATAAACTCAGTGAAACACTGCAATATGCTCTACATTGCAAGAAAAGGAAAAAAAAAAAGATAACGGGAAATCTTCAGAGGAAATGATTTCTGCACTAATAGGCATAAATAAAAGCCTTAGGGACTCCAAACTAACGCCAAGTGGTTTTTCTCCTAGAGACTTGATTTGCCTAAGGTAAAGCCTCTAAATCCCATGCATTCTCCATTTTAAGTCCATCGCCCCACTTAATCCTTCACCATCAGCCAGCCAACAGCTATAGCTCTACCCCAAACCCCTCTTTACTTATCCAACCTATTTTCTGCATATAACCTTTTGTTCAGCCCTCTTCCTGAAGAGGGTGGTTCACCTTGAAACTCTGTGTTGTCAAGGCCCCTGATGGCCTCCACTGCATCCTCTGCCCGCTCCATGTGTACGAAGGCATAATCTTTCACGATGTCACATTCGATGACTGGACCATACTCCTCAAACTTGGCCCGAAGCTCTTTGTTGGTACAGGTGGGACTGATGTTGCCCACATGCAATTTTGTGGAGGTTTTGCTCTTATTCTTGCTGGCTTCTACGTTGATGTTCACCCCGTGCAGCTTGTAGTGGTGCAGGTTGCGTATGGCATCCTCAGCCGCCGTCTTGTCTTCTATGTGCACAAAGCCATAGTTCTTAATGATGTCACATTCCAGCACCTTCCCATACTGCTCGAAGAGTGAGCGGATCTCCTGCTCCGTAGCCTCCCGGGGCAGGTTTCCAATGAACAGCTTCACCATCTCGACACAGCCTGGGTGAGAAGAAACAAAATTTCTAACAAAAGACCTTAGACCCACATCAGTTAAAAAAAAAAAAAAAAATCGATACTGCCATCTCCTTTCATTCTAGCAAATATTTCCAGTTTCCCCCTATCTCACACGCCCCCCACACACACCTCCACACAATAATCAAGGGGACATGAAAATACGGAGGCCTGCCACAGAACCGGCTATGGAAACTATAAGAATGAGAACACGCTTGTAACAGAAAGGTCTTTAACAGACAAAGGGTTTGGTAAGAGTTTGATAGCTTCAAACGGGAATGGAAATGAATTGAGAGCATAAACGTAGCGCTGGGGACCTCAGCTTTTCTATCCACTATGAGGACAGACAGAAACAACGGTCTCACTACTGGCCAGCTGGATTAACTGCCTGAAATTATGAATTGGCTCTTCCTCCCGTAAACGAAGTAGCCACCATTTCCGGAAAAGTGGGCCTTATAATAATAGCTACATTTTAGAGCTTCCTTTGGAAGCAGTGCACGGGCGACTTGGGCCCGACAGCGAGGCGTGAGGAGGGTACAGGAAGCGGAGTGTGGACCGTCTCTCTCGGGGTGCCGTCCTACGAGTTCCTGCAGAATGCAGAAAAGCGTGGCCAGAGAGGGGGCTTCGGACTCATCAGCCGGACAACAATGTCTCAGGGCCTGAGAAACTCTCGAGACGGGGTTTTAATTTCTAAGTGTGAGGGAAGCGCGGTAACCTCGGTGGAAAGCTCGAGGCAGGAAACCGAGCCAAGTCAGGTAGAGGGCAGGGTGGGGAAAAAGCAAGGTACTCTCGGGGGAGGTCGTGGGGGAAGGGCTGCTTCAGGCTTACCGCGAAATGCTGAACACCGAGGTCAGCTCTCGGGCACGCGCGCAGAGGCCGCGACCCCACTAGGATACCCCCGAAGCCCGAGGGAGTGAGATAAGATTTAAGAAGGCAAAAGAATGACAGTGGAAGGGTTCGGAGTCTCTCACCCGCACGGAAATCAGCAGGGCCTCTTCCTCGCGGCACGGACGCTTCTGACAAAACGCTAAAATGGCGGCGGCCGCTGCAGTGACTCTGGGTAGAAGGGGGAGGTGAACCTACCACCGGATTGGCCGCTCAATAAAGAAAAGGCAGGCGTTCCCGCAGATCCTCTTCCTGATTGGTTAACACGAACGCCAATTACCTGAGAGGCCGGGAAGAGGTGGAAACGTCAGTAACCCTGGAGCTTTTATGCGAATGCCAATGAGCAGCAATCTCGCGAAGCCGAAGTCACCAATTGGGTAAGAGGTTGGCGTGAGGGAGGAACTACAAACGTGGGCTTCGCGGGCGGGGTTCCGCCCGCCATTAGGCGGAGCGAGCTTGGGGCCCTGTGTGGCGGTCTTTCGCTGCGTGGCGCCAAGTTTGTTAAGCTTCCACATTTCGCCACTTCCACGTGCACATTCCGACAGCATTCCGCGCTCCGTTTTGCCTTCTACTCCACATTTCTCCCTCTGAACTCCCAGATACCAGTCCCTCGCAGCCAGGATGCTGCGGCCGACAGCTTACGCAGACCCAAACGGCAGGTAAGAAAAATTGCGAAGCGTCGCACCTGAAAACCCCAACCACCTCCTTTGGCCAAGAATCCACACGGTAGCCCTGTGAGTCCCTGAGCTCCCCTCAAACTAAAACTACTTTCATAGGTGGTGAAAGGAACTCTGAAAACGGCTAATGGACGCAGCTTCAATTAGGGTACAGTGGCCCCGAAGTCGGCCCGGTTGGGGGCTGCCTTACTCAGGAGGCGCTGAAGAGGCAAGTTCCCTCGAGGAACCAACCTCCCGGGGTCCAAGATGAAGAAACGGCTTCTCTGTGACTGGAGATTGAGAAAACACCCCCACCCCGCCCTGAGAAAAAACTGGAGCAGCAAAGTTTTTTTGTTTTATTTTATTGGGCGCCATCAGCCAGAGCTGTAGAGGTTTAAACTCCTAGAACCGACCTTAGAGGGAAGAGCCTAATCACAACCAGCTAAAAACATAACAATCAAAACGGCATTCTCCAGAGGGTCCGGCTGCCTCATTACAGTCTTTCTCATCCTTGGGCTTCTTCACATAATCCCATACTCACTGAGCAAGCAATGACCTTTTGCAAGGCAGCTTTTGAAGAGGGAGTTAAAAGGGGGACAAAACGGGGAGGGAGAGCGGTGCTGGATGGAAGAACTTAAAACACAGAAGCAGTGAATTGTTTATGAGGAAGGAAAGGGATCCTCAGCAGTGATGACACAAGTAGAACATACTACCGTCCAAAGCAGCCAAAAAAAAAGGGGGGAGGCGGGGGTCATAAAGAGAAAGGTGAAGTCCAAGTTATGGAAATGGGTTTTAAAACCTGACATGACTCAGAAATCAAATGGTGGAAAACTGGTCAAGAACCTATTCTAGGGTAGGAAAAGGTAGGGACCTAAAAACATTTACAGATGTGGTCACTAATCTTGGTCCATTTTCACTGTAGATTCTAATGCTGATACTCTTGAGACTGAGTAAAGGCCACAGGATCAGGGATGAAAACCAATTCCATGTTAGTCAGCTGCATGTGTGCCATTTGAGGGGGCCAGCATCAGGAGGTGGTCACAACTCAGTCTGCACAGGGAAATGCATCTGGTATAGAAATCCTCTTAGCTCCTTTCAGTTTGATCTTCCAAAATTTGTGTGTCGCAACAGCCCTGGAGATAAACTTTCTTCCAAAATACCAAAGTATGTGAGATCAACTAATTCTGTGAAACTAGGAAATCTCTCCAAGTCCGAAGGGAAGAGAACGGGAAAATAAATCTTCTCAGGATCACAATTCAACCCAGTTGGCAGACCACCTCCCCCACCCCCTTATCTAATTACTTGATTTACCTTCTGAAAGCCCTCTAGGTGGAGTTATATTTGTTTCATTTTGCAAACTCATCCAACTGAGTAAACCACATTAAATCATACCCCTGCTTTTTAAAACCCATTGCAATTGGAAAAATTTCAAACTCACCCTACCCAATCTGATTCTTGCCAGAATCTCCCAGTCTCTTTACACCCCCCCCCCAGGGCACAACTATGCTCCAACCCGCCACCCCAACTATGCTCCAGCACACTGGCCTTTTTTCCCCAAGCTCATTCAGACTAGAGTGTTCTTTCTCCAGGTCCTTCACTGGCCACCCCATCCTAAGACACCCCACCACTCCAACCCTACCTTGGAACTCTATCCCATGACTCCATGTTATTTTTCCGAATACTTACCACTACTTGAAATCCTATTTGTTCATTCATTTTTCTGCCTTCTTCCCACCCTCTGCCCCCAGCAAATACTTGTTCTACAAGGGCAGGGCCCTTTTCTTGTTCGATACTATATCCTCAGTGTTAGAACTGCACTTGGCACATGGTAGGCACTCAAATATTTGTTGACTAAGTCAACAAATGGATAAATGAATGCACGAGTTAACTTCTTGATAACAAAAAGGAGAGAAATGACTTTGGATTTTCAGTCAATATCAGTTTAAGAACATGGACACTTAGTACTAAAAACAAGCACGTTCATACTCTTATCACCTAGTACACTTTCCAGTCTCCCTCAAACAGAAAAAGCAGGTGCCCAAAAGTCGAGGGTAATCTGTGCTACAGCTTTTGATTGCTAGGATTACCAGCTTGACAAATGCTGCAAAATGAAGCCTTAGGTAGGAAGATTTGTAGTTCGAATGTCTCCACATGTTCATCTACCCAACTGTGTTTTACCAAGTACTAAAGGAGCTTAATGTAAACATTAAGCTTTTACCATTAAAAACTATTAAAAGTTTTAAATTAAAGACATCTGGTCCAAATCCTCTACCACCCCAACTACAGAGAATGGGATTGAATGGAATGTTTTAAATTCTTATTTATTTATTTTTTCCCCCCAAAGCCCCAGTAGATAGTTGTATGTCATAGCTGCACATCCTTCTAGTTGCTGTATGTGGGACGTGGCCGAGGCCGGAGAAGCGGTGCATCTGTGCGCGCCCGGGATCCGAACCCGGGCCGCCAGCAGTGGAGTGCGCGCACTTAACCGCTAAGCCACGGCCGGCCCGAATGGAATGTTTTAAAAGCACCTTGTCTGCAACACTGTAGATGCCATTTTGGTGATTCTTAATTTGCTGATCAGGTTACCAAGCACCTAAAAGTAAAGTGACTTGTCCAGTCATCTAGAAAGCTGACAATCTGTCAAGAGCCAAACATAAATATTTATTCTGGCTGCAAATCTTGAAGAGATGAAAGACCCTGAACTCTTGAAAGAGAAATAAGGAACAAATCCAAATTTCCGGGGAAAACACCAGTGTCAGTGAAAACCACTCACATGGGAATAAGCAATCTGTATTAGTTTCACACCCTTAGGGGTGAATATATATAATTTATACACCTAATAACTCTGGCTCCTGGTCCACAAATGAGCTCTTGGTATAATAAGGGCTCAAATTAAAAACCAGTGTTCTCCAGGGATGTTCAGAGGGAGCCACTAGGCCAGTCAAGCAAACTTCCATCCTGCTGCCAGTTACATCTTCTAGCCTCCCCTTAATGTCTTTGCAGGTCCCCTACCCCATACCTTTCTCTATACCCAGGAGAATCTGATCCCAGGACACTGAACGGTGTTGGCTGAGACTGGAGGCAGCCAAAACTGGTGTGGTCCAGTGGCCTACGTCACTCCTAGGTGTCACTCATTACAAAAATCCACTGCCTTCAGTTACTCATGTGCTGCACTCACACCTACATCCAAAGTCTTTTGCTCAGCTATGTGCTCCACTAGGCCATCCTAATCTCCCCAGAATGTTCTAACTCCTCATTTCTATAAGATGGCTAGCATTTAATGAGCAGTGACTATATATGAGGCCCTACGCTTGTCAAATGTTCTCATTTTATCCTTCCAATGGTAGTTTTATCATGATTACAAGCAAAGTCCTGGATGGTTCAAAAGGGCTGGTTCAATTCCTTGATCCACTACTTTTTAGCCATATGATCTTAAGTTACTTAACCTACAGCCTCAACTTCCCCATTTATAAAATAGGTTTAGAAATACCTAATGCATTTGGATTGCAATGAAGATTAAATGAAATTAATATATGAAAAGCAGTTTTAATAGTGCTTAGCATGTGTTCAATAAATGTTAGCTATTATCCCCCTTTTACAGAAGAAAAAACCAAGGCAGAGTTCCTGACATGTCCATGATCACACAGCTAAGTGGAAGAACCAGGATTCAAACTCAGGTTGCTTTTAGAGCCAACACCCTTAGTCATTGTCTCTGTGCCAAGTCAGTTTTCAAATCAAATCTCATCCAGAAAGTTTTCTCTAACTACTGGGACTGCCCCCATCCTCCTTCCTTACCTACCACTTCCCTAGCATTGCTTATTAACTGTAACTCATTGAGTAGGTCCTGCCTCCCCAAACTGTAAATTTCTCAAGGTCAGCCCAAGGGCTCAGCTACCTGAACACTATATTTCCAGCACTACCAGACATGTGATATTTCAAATGATTTATTAGAGCTAGACTTGAAATCATTTTAAGAACTTTTTTTTCTGAAAAACTCTAGATTCTACCCTTTAGGACCTTTTTAAAGGTACCTATAGAATTTTGGTGAATATAAATTTTCCACCTGCTATCCACCTTACCTTCTCTATTACCCAAACTCCTATTACATAGCATACTAGTCCATAAGTCCAGGAAATTTATTTTCAATATGCCCTCAGCCATTCCATGTTATAATAGTCAGCTTACTTGGCGTGACAGGACAAAATGGCTAGAGAACCAACAGTCTGTGCTCTGACTTTGGCAGAGCTTAACTGATGGACATGACTAGAAAGGCAGCCTACCCATAGACGCTGACCACTCAGTGATATTCCCATTACCTCCAGTACAAAGGACGGGGCTCCAGGCCTGCCCCAGACAGAACCTGAAACACTCTCCAAACCTCAGAAGAGAGCAGGCTGATGAGGCTAGAAGCCTCTACGTAGTCTTGTTCCAGGAATAAACCGTCTAAAACTTCTCCAATGAAGGCCAAGTTGTAGAGGTGATAGATGGCAGCGGTGCAAAAATCTGAAGGACACTGGAAGCCCATATTCCCACCACCTTTTCCCAAAACACACATTAAACACCTGTCCTCCCATTCACTCAACCCAACCATCTTCAAGTTATAGGAGCCTGGAAATCAGAAATCCACAAAAAGCAAAGTGTGAGGAGTAGGCTTAGGATTAACACAGGTGGCATACTTTAAACAAAAAAGAGGGGAGGGAATTTTAAAACAATCTGCAAGGAAGAGGAAAATGACAAATGATTTAGCTTTGTAGCTCCTTCTGGCTTAAACAATGAGAAGCCTGAGGGCTGAGGCAGCAAGGGCATCAGGACCTAAAGATGACAGGCAGTTAGAGTGATCCTCTAGGCCAGGTCACTCTGAAGAACTTGGTCTGCAATGAAGAACATCAACACTGGCCCGGAGAGCACATTAAGCTGTTTTTCACAGGAACCATGGGATTGGGACAGTGGCAGAACCCTCATTGGAGAGAAAAGACGACAGCCACATTGACAAAGAAAGAAATATTACAAATAACACAGGCCACAATCACAGCCCTAGAATCAACCAACCCTCCATTTTCCAGGATAATAACCAGAGCTAAGCTTGTTAGCTTGGCCCTCAGATCACCCCACCCTCACTGCAGAAAAGGGACAAGAAACCTATCAACTCCCCCTCCCAGACCTGCAAAGAAATGAAAGGAGCGGCAAAGCAGTGAACAGAAAGAGAAGCGAGGAAAACAGCTATGGCCCCAGTACCTCTGAGATCACCCCAGTTAGCATCCGTAAGAGCTCATGGTTGCAAAGACCATATGCTTTTGCCTGCTGGGCAGAGGGAAGAGAACATCTGGGGCAAACTACTCTGTCACAGGCAAGTTCATAAGAAGCCAGTGAAGGAGGCAGAAGAGAACCCACCTGAACTCCACTTGATTGACACACATACCTCTGCAAAATCGCGTTGCCCCAGCAGGCTCCCAAATCAAATCTCTAATAAAGCCCCCTTTCCCAAAGGAACATCAGTAGGTTTTCCTGTTATTACCCCACCCAACCAGTCTTCTAACAGTCACCCATCATTAAGCCCAAGCCTCAGTCTTGTCCCCGGCTGGAATTGCCATATTTTTTGCCCAAGTCCTCTCGACCCTCAGTCTCGGAAGAAAAGTATAGAAGGAATCTTCAATTCCTCACCCTACCCCAGCATCCTTACTTGGTGATGCTTGTACTTCACCCCCTTCCCAGAGGGTATCATGCCACCTTCAAATATAAACCCAGCAAGAAAACATCTGGAAACCTTAACAAATGGAGACAGGGAGAGTGAGAGTCTCAGGTGACTATGATAACAGGGGTTGGCAGGACGCAGGAAGGACGCTCCGTGATGTTCAACAGGCGAAATACCAGGTCTATGGTCAGAATTCCCCAGACCTGCTTCAGACTGTCCCTGCCCCTCCTTTCTCCAACCACAGGGCAGTACCAGACATTGACATCACCCCAGCCCCACTACTGGCTCCTTTCCGGGTCCCAGCCCCAGCACTCACTCGAGACCACTGCCTGAAGGATCCAGTAGCCTCGTAAGCACCAATGCAGCCCACTCCCCACTTCTCACTTGAGAAGCCAAACCCCAGAACCACCCTGCTGGAGCACAGGTTGTTTCTGAACTGTAAACAAGTGAGGGAAAATAGTCAAGCAAAGGCAGAGGAAAATGGGCAATAAACAAACTGCATTTTGGTGTGATTCATTCAAGTTGAGGGCTGAAGAAGTCCAAACAACTTGGTCTGGACTCTCCAGTCCTAAAGATGGCAGACTAGCAGGACGACGATGAGCTAACTCCCTCTGGGCAGCAGGGAAATCATTCTTATTCCCCCATTCAAACCCCCTTCCTCACCTGCCCTGAACTCTCTGGCTGCCTTCCCTTTAGCTGTCATGTCTTCCTGGATGTCAAACTGGCTCCTCTCAAACTGAGTGCAATCAAGACAATGACAACCAGGTTTCCAAACTGCAAATTGCCCCAAGTTTTATTTGTAGTCCATACAAAAGGGAAAAAAAATTAAGGTTTTCTAACACCACCTACTTGGGGAGATGGGGAAGTGGGACTGTGCCGCTCAGCATCAGCTAGAACATCAGGGGTCAGTAGGGATTTGGACATATACCAACTGACTGTCCCAACAGGAACTCAGTCTCAATACAGTCTGTAGAGGGACAAAGTCAGGGCCCCCTGGACTGCTGGCACAGCTTGGCGCATAGGAAATGGTTAAGCTAAAACCCTTTCCTGGCCTCCCTCACATCTAAAAAGAAAAAGGCGCCGCCGACCTCAGCTGCAGGTTGCTTCCCCATCCAGACGACCTTAAATATCGCGCACAAAAATAAAAGGGAGCCAGGAAAAAATAAAAACATAAAAGAAATTCCCATCCCAGGGAGATGGGAGGCAGGGGAGAGGGGAAACCGCAGATCTAGAGCCAGTAGCAAGATATGCTGCTGAGGCGAAGGAACAAAGTAGATTACTGCCGAACACTCAAAAGGATTGACTCCTGGGGAAGGCCCACATGGTAGGGGGGATGAAAAACCGCAAATGGGAGAGGTATGGGCCAGTGGTTATAACCTGGGTCTGCACCCTACTCCACCTCTCCTCTCCTTCCCTCCCTGTGGTGCCCCATCCCAGGATGGCCCTACATGCGGCGCTGGTAGCCAGAGTGCATCTGAGCTGCCCGCAGGTAATCATTATAGGAGCCCGAATAGCGTGCGTAATCGGAATGGGCATCGGGCAGGCGACGGTAATCCAGCGAGGACTTTGTCGGCGAGCGGCGGAACGAAAGCTGCGACTCTGATAAACGGCGGTAATCAGAGAGCTCGGCTAAACGCCGGTCGGAACCATACCTAGTCGAGAGAAGAAGACAGTTGGTGAATGAGACAATTGAGGGGAGGGCTCCAGGTGGGCATGGGGGAGATGCCAAGGGGGATAGGGAGGGTGTGATCAGATTGGTCTCCAACAAACAAGATTTTGTCAGAAGGCTCATCACCCTATCCAGGGCAAGAAATCAAGCCTAGTTCAACTCAGTGGGAAACCAAGCCCACCACTGCAGCCCTCCCTTCTGAACTGGCCAAGGTGGGTTTTGGTGTACATTCCCAAACCACGAACAAAACTATCCCCTCCGGGCCCCGCACAGAAAGACCTTGATTGTTTATCAACAGAACGGCGGACGAAAGCAAGGTCCCCAACTTCCCACAGAGTGGACGCACCTCATACTCCTTGCCTTCAGCCAGGGAGTGCCAAAGGGACTACTCTTTCAAATCCACCCCCACCAAAGCCAGGACAACCATGTAACAGGCTTAAGGATCCTTGAGACGGTGGGAAAGGCCAGGGGCCACGATCTTGCAGGCAGTAGCTCCAATGGCATTTGGGCTAGCCTAGACAGGTGACACTTTTCCCAGCCTGACTAGCTGATACCACCCCAGGCTGAGCATTATGCTCCACCTGAACCCTGGTGACCAGGAAAGTTCACAGACATCACCCCCCTCAGCCTCTGGACATCCCACGGGGGTAGAGAAGACCAAGGGAGGGGCCAATGGCTCCAGTTTCCCTCCCATGCCAACCTCAGCCCCTTGCCCTAAGCCCCAGCTGGGGGCAGAGGCGGGGGGGCATACAGTACCTTTTCGACATGGCGACAGCCTTTTTGTAGGGATCGTCGTAGCTGGCCCGGGGTGGGGAGAGGCGGGTACGCTCATAGGGCGGCGGGGTGCTGTTGGCGTTGGCAACGGCCCCCTGGGACATGGACAGGTAGGCTGCAGACGGCTGACCTGCCCCATCGTAGGCATTGCCCGGCTGGCCGCGGTAGGAGGCAGCAGCCTGGGGATGCTGCTGGGCAGCATAGGATGCAGCCAATGAGGCTGACGACTGAGTGCGGTAAGGAGCTGCCAGGGTGGCAGAAGGCTGGGCCCCGTAGGCAGCTGCTGCACCATAGGAGCCAGTGGCCGCAGCAGCTGACTGAGCCCCATAGGAGCCTGACAGGCCCATTGATGCTTGAGCCCCATAACTATTCAGTTGGGTCTGAACGACTGGCTGGGCCCCATAGGAGCCAGCCATTGGCGTAGTAGCTTGTGCAGCATAGGCGGCTGGCTGGCTGGCATAGGCAGCAGCTGTAGCTGGCTGTGCCACATAGGCAGCAGGCTGGGAAGAGTAGGAAGCAGCCTGTTGTGCAGCATATGGGGCAGACTGGGCATTGTAAGAGGCCGAGGGTTGGGCATTGTAAGAAGCTGCCTGGGCCCCATAAGCTAGTGAGGAGGCTGCAGATTGGGCCCCATAGGAGGCTGCCTGGGCCCCATAGGAGCCTAGGGAGGAAGCTGCTCCCTGGGTGTTGTAGGAGGAGGCAGCTGCACGAACCCCATAGGAAGAGGCAGCCTGTGCGCCATAAGAGGATGGCTGGTTACCATAGGAGGCAAGGGAGGAGCCTTGAGCCCCATAGGAATTGAGCGAAGAGGCCGCGGCTGGCTGACCCCCATAGGAGGAGAGGGCCGAGGCTGAGGGCTGGGCTCCACCATATGGGCCAAGCGAGGAAGCTGCAGCAGACTGGGAGCTAGGGCTAGCCAGCTGGCCCCTGTATGGGGCCCCAAGGGAGACAGAGGGCTGAGCGCGGTAAGAGGCTGCCTGGGCTGTCATGGGCTGAGTCCGATAGCCGACACCCAAAGAGGCAGAAGGCTGGGCCCTGTAGGCAGCTCCCAGTGACACTGAGGGCTGGGCCCGGTAGGTGGCTGGCTGGGCCGTCAGAGGAGCCACGTAAGAGGCTCGGGGAGGTGAACGGCGCAGGGGGCTGCGGTCGCGACCAAAGAAGGGTGGTGTGGGCTGACGGGCTTGCCCATCAAAGCCACCAGTGCTGTTGCCAAAAGCCTGCTGGTAGTCGAAGGTGGCAGAGAAGCCACCAGTTCCAGGGAATGCCGTATCCCCAGCCCCTGGTTTCTTGGTCTTGTCCCCAGACTGGATAGCCAGGCCAGGCCCCTTCTTCTGACCCTTGGTTGAGAGTTCCACGTTGATGCGCTTGCCCTTCACTTCTTTGCCGTTGAGCTGCGCGATGGCGGCTTTGGCATCTGCTTCCTTCTCCATGTGAACAAACGCGTAGTCTGATAAAGCAGCAGACAGAGGGTTAGCAATTAGGGGGGCAGGGCATGCTACCCAGTGGGTCCCACACTGGACACACCAACAGCACCCAGCTGTTGCCAACTACCTCCAGGTCTCCAAACCCTCCTATCCAGGAGTATGTCATAAAATGTGGCTCCCATATAACAAAGCTCCTGACTGTCCCAAGTAGACACCTTTGCCTATGGCCTTCTCCCCATTCTCCCCTTGCCCCCTGCTACCTCACCCAACTTCCTGGTGAGAGAAGAAAAGAGCAAAGATGAACTGCAACACGGCATAAAAATCTTCATGGCTCCTGTAAGTATAAGCCAGCAGACAAAACACAGAAAAGCTTCCTGGATCACTCAATTATTCAGTATTCTCTAACCCAAGGTCACCAAACACTACTGCTCACTTTTGAGGCTTAACTCTCAAACACTAGAAATGAACACTTATGTTTTGATAAGACCAATGTCTCACCCCATGGTCCAATTAAGGCAAGACAGCTAGACTACAATGCACAGTTTACGAAATCCCTCCACTATGATCTCTCCTTTTCCTACAAAACTTCCCAGTTTTCAAAGCACTTCCGTACACAGGACCTCATTTAGGCCTCACAACAATCCTGTGAGGTAGGCAGAACAAAGGATCACTATCCCCATTTTACAGATGGGCAGACACACTCAGACAACTGGCTTGCCCCAAATCAAAACGTGTTAGAGCCAGGAACAGAATCCCATCTCTCCATGCCCCTACATTATCGAGTCTATCCCTGAGAAGTCAATGTATAAGACAGGACTGTGTAATATGGCTAGAAATTTAAGCTTAGAAGGGGAGAAGTTGGACCCCATGCAAGCCAATGAGGTGTGGGGATGGAAACTAAGCCTTCTGGCTGAGCTCAGGCCCAAGCCCCCTCCTCCAGGCTACATTACATCCTCCACTGGCTCCTCTTCAAGGGACAGAGGTATACCTTACCCCTTGGGCTCCTGTTCACAGAGCAGACTATCTACAGGAAAGATTTGGTTTCTCAGCTCCAAGACAAGAAGCTGCAATTACTGCAGCTAGCAGGCTCTGCAAAGCAGATTACCCCTGGGGTTCTCATTCAGAATCTGAATGAGTTGTGGTGGGACAAGATCGAAGACAGAATGTTGATCTCAAAGTCCTACTCATCTACCACACAGAACAAGAACATTGCAGGAGGGGGAAGAGTGGGAAGAAATTCTTGTTCACATCCAAACTCACAAACCACAATGGTGCAAGCAGGATCTGAGGAACAAGGATAAGACCACGCTCATGGGAAATAAGGCCATACACTTAACCCCATCTGGACCTGTGTCTACTTTAAGATGCAAGTCCAAGTACCAGGACCTCATCTCTCTCCCATCAGTTCAGGAAATGAAGAACTACCCGGATGAGATTACTAAGGTTCCCTTCTTGTAGATAAGAAATCCTTGTAAATGGTCTCTAAACAAGTGTCCAAATTTCTAGAAACTTTCATACTAGGATACCCTCTCTAGCTGCTCCCACAAAACAAATCATTTTCCTGGATGTAAGGCAATACCACCAAGCCAACTCTTACATAAATGAGAATAAAAATATAATCAACAGGTAGAAGTCAGAAGTATGATATAGCACAAGGAATCCTGGGCTAGGAGCTAAAAGGCCTCAGTTGTAGATCCAGTTATCACTGACTTGCTATAAGCTCTTAAGGAACCTACAGTCTATTTCTCCATCTGACAAATCTGTCCTACCTACCTCAGAGTTAGGAGATTCAAATGAAGAGATAACAGTGCCTTGTAAAGTATAAACAATAAAAACTTATGATGATTATAACTACAGGCTTATTTCCCCACAGAATATTATCTATAATAAAACACAAGAGATACAATGCCATCTATACATGCAAACTTGGAACCTGCTAGAGATGACAGAACAAAATGAACTATAACAACTCTCAGTCCTCACACCCTCATGACCAGAACGTGATTCCTATCTACCAAATGAGAAAAGCCAAAGTGTTTCTTTTGGCCTAGCCACAGGGCACTAGAACCGTCCTCTCATCTCTCACCTCCACTTTGGGTAGAGTGAGCTAAAAATAGATGCTGGTGGTCAGAGATCTCTCTAAAAGCAGAGGCTGAGCTGACCCTCTGGGAAATGGCAAAACCATCCCGACAATGCAATGGCAAGCAGAAAGTAGGAGCTTGTAGGCAGATTAAGGGGAATGAAAAAAAAAAACCAAAACCCTCCAGGCACTGTAAGGGAATATTAAGGAACCATACTATGTTCCTGGCTAATCTATCCACAAATCCCTGAGACTAGAATAAGCTAGGAAAAAAAACCCAACAAAAAAAATTTCAATGAGTTTACAAGAGCAATAGGACATCCCCACTGTCTATTCCCTACTTAGCTGCGTTTCATTAAGAGACCAAGTTTGTGAAATTTGAAAATTGAAATTTCACATGTACAATTCAATTGACCGCCCAGACTAGCAATACAACTGATAAAAAAAAAAAAAAGCCACTGCATACAATTATAACGAATTTATATCAGAAAGTTCCTAAGCCTGATATTGGAGGAAAGTCTGAACAGGTTGTCCAGCTGACTCAATCACATCAGGGCTAACTAATCCTTTGTGAGCAGCTAAACCCAGCTCCAGCCCCGTCAAAGATGCCCAGGAACCCAACTACTCCTAGAACAATTAAGAACAAGCAGAGATCTAGAGAACTCCAGGGGCCCACCTGCCTGGAGAGCTAGTTCATTCAAGGAACAGTGACTTCTGAAGGAAATTCACTGCACTTAAAGGGACTAGCAAACAACGTTTTATAGAGAGCTCCTAATGGTCTGGTGGCATCACAATTCCTCCAGTACCAAAGTTAAGAGAATCCAGAAAAATAAGTTTTCCTATTCTGAGCAGACTTGAAACTACAAAGCTGTGTATAACAGGAAAGAATAGCCACCCACAAAAAAGAAGAAACAGTTTCCATTTCTGCCTGTCAGACCTCCCCTGAAGTCTAAATGGTTCCTAAAGCTGTCAGCCACTCTCAGTTTTCATCTTTGAACACCCAGTAGAATGTAGCTGTAGAGAGTGGTTACAATCCACTGTTGCTATGGAGACTTTTACTCTACAAATCAAATCATATCTAAGCTCCTGGGGTAACCAAGCAACTATGTTTTTTCCCCTGTGAAATAAAACAACTGGTTGTCCTGTGCAATGCCAAGATTCTGTGCTTTTCAAAGACCTGACAGCCAACACAAGAAGACTCAATCGAAAGCCCACTCCCAGCCCAAGACATGAGTAAGCCATTTATAGAGCCAGAGCCAGTCTCTTCTACTACATTCGCAAGTTAAATACCTCAGTTTCCTTCACCCCAAAGAGACAGAAAGGCATCAGTGGAGAATATAACGCTCAAATCTTTCCCACAGTTCCTGACATCAAGGTATATCACAAGCTCTGTTACATATTAGCGTGACTACAAATAACAGCTGACTACCACATCCTGAGGAAGTCAATGCATTTCTGCTAAGGGACAAAACGCACAAAACTTTCGCTCTAACTCTCACAAGGAGTCAGCCAGGAGTTCTAAAAACCACACGCAGTTATGTATTACCCTGCCCCCCCAGTGTCACCTGGTGTCGGTCCTGAGCAAATTCAAATTTTGGCTTTCTCTACCACCTGAGAGCAAACTTCTTGACCAATGAGTTCCATGGAGACTGTCCCCTCAGATGCTAGTTTCTAGACTCCCAATCTAGTAGCCACCGTACCTAAGAACCACAAAAGCATCGTGGTAGGTCAACTAAACATAGAACTCTCATAATGAGTCATATACCCCCATCCATTTCCTGGCCAGGTGCCCAACTGAGGCCATTCTCACTCTTTTCCTCCAAACAAAAGCAAAAATCCATGCACCATACAGCCTGCCTCAGAGCACCCAGCAGGGAAAGCCCGATTCTGGGTAGTCATGCACTTGCATAACCTGAGTTGAGGAAAATAGAATGCAGTATTAATGCAGAACAAGGGATGGCTCCTAGCAGCAGAGACTAGCACCCTTTACACTTTCCTCAGTTACGGAAAGGACAAGGCCCAAAAGATGTGCCCTTCCAGGACAACAAATAAAGTATCTCGGTGGAAATGAATAAGCAACTGCACCCACATTTATTTCCTATCCTCAAAACTTCTCACATAGGGTAGGTATGAATCCAACACCAACAGTAGGGCAGCAGACACTCCCAGGCTGCACCCTTGAAGACAGCAGGGCAAAGAACTGATCGGTTCCGGAGTGGAACAGAGACTGGCCATATACACAAGGGCTGTCCCACCAAATCTTGCCAACATAAAAGGAAAAGAGCCTGGGGATAAGAACCCAGACTATGAAAAAAGTCAACTGGGTCCCAAAAAGAAAATCGGGCCTAAATTATGGTTACACATTTTCTCGAAGAAAAGGCAAACTAGGGATCTGCCCTGAGGATTAGACTACTCAAGCAAAGACGACCAGGAAGTAAATATGTTTAACCAAAGTTTAACGAAGCCCTCTCACACGCCCCTATCCATGTCCCCTTCACCACCGAGTTAGTCCCCTTGCAAAACCACCAAGCTATAAAAGAATGATACTGCCCTGGGGCCAGGCTTGGTAAGTAAAGGCTACGGAGAAGGAGCCTTCATAAAACAAGCCTCCTTCCACATGCGAAAGGTCGGGGGTTTCCAGTTTTTATATGTAAAATCGAGCCCAAAGAAAAACACCCAAGTTTGAGGGAGTTAGAAAGCGCAGAGTTGCCACGTCTAATCCACCTAACAATATTGAAAGGCCAAAGTGGTTCGGAAGGGGCCCTCCTGTACCCACGAGGAGACCCACGCCACACAATACTAAAAGATCCCAGCCCGAAAAACGTCCAAGGGCCCCGTTACCTTCCGCTCGGGAGCATTCACCGGGAGGGAACACGAGGGTGGCCTTGGGGCATCAGCCCCCACCTTTTCCCTCTTCCCTTGCTCTGACCGACGTCTGGAGAGGAAGTGGGGAAGTGGCGAAATCTTCCCCGCTCCACGATCCGGCTTGTGCCCGTCACTTCCCAATTTCCGCTCGGTGCCAGGCCCAGGAGACCAGTGGAAGACGCGCCCCCGGTACACTCGCAACTCTCAGGCGCGTCCCCGGACCCGTAGCTCGGCTCCCAGCGGCCGCCGCACCCACCCAGAGCCGCTTGCTCCCATTTGGTGAATGGTGCCTGGACCGCAGGGGAGGAGAGTGGCTCTACCCAACGCGCCCCCAAGACCTCCGACCTCGCTCCCGCGGACTCCCCCAGTCCCCCGCCCCAACCGCGCAGTGACCGACCCCCGGGAAAGGGGCGTGGCTAACAAGCAGAGTGCCCCGAGCGCGCCCGCGCCCGCGCCCCCGCCCCCGCGTTACCTTTCACCACGTCACACTCGATGACGCGTCCGCGGCGCTCGAAGAGGCTGCGCAATTCCTGGCTCGTGCACGCAGCCGACACATTGCCCACGAAAATCTTCCATGTGTTAAGAGGCCGTGGGCGCGACATCTCCACCACGAGCGCGCGCCCCGGCCGCAGCTCGTGGCCGTGCAGGGCCTCAATGGCGCGCAGCGCGCCCGCGTTCTCGCGCATGTGCACGAAGGCGAACTGTTTCATGACGGCGCAGCTCATGACCGTGCCGTAAGGCGCGAAGAGAGCTGCCAGCTCCTCCGGCGTCGTATCCGCCCCATCGACGTTTCCCACGAATATCTTCATTTTGCCGCCGCAGCCGCCTTCCCGGAGAGCCGGGACCGCTCCTCCAGCTACAGGCGAGACGTCCGACCGACCGGTAGTCCTCCCCAGGAATGGCTGGCGACCGAGAACCCCGCCGCGCAGGCGCTCTGACCTAGCCAATCGGGGCCCACATCCCGCGCGTCCTGCAGCCAATCAGAGAAGCTGAGAGAAGATGCACTCGGCCGCAGCCAATCACAGAGGGCATGGAGCCCGCTCGTTAGCGAAGGGGGTGGGAGAGGGACGACGGCGCGCGACCAACCGCCACTGCCGAGGGGTGGGGGAGAAGGGTTAGAGAAGGGGGTACGCGCGCGGGGAGCGCCGGCGGCCGAGAGGCCTAGTCGGTGAGGCGGCCTCTGGCCTGGGTGGGGCCGGGATCGGCGGGCTCCAAGGAAAAACTTTGTTGAGTCGGAAGTCAGAGCTCCTCCCGTTCTGGCAGCCTAGGCCAAACCCCTGCCTGGAGGTGGCAGCGAGAGTGTCCACGGGAAGGCCGGGCCTGGCGGAAGAAACCAGGACAAACGCCTTCAGTCAGCAAAGGACCCGGGACTGTCGCCTCCGGGACTGTGCTGGGCTATCTAAAGGCACCTGAGAGGCATCTGCCCCAGGGAAACTCTCGTGCCACTAATTCGTTCTTTGGAAACGTTCCCTGAGGTTGCAGGTCCTGGCAGACGCTGGAGACAGTGAAAAATGAGACCCCCGTCTCTGCCCTTATGGAATTTCCAAACGAGGAATAATGAGATGTATCTCTCTTGTGTGTGCTTGAAATCTTCCACAATAAAAAGTTGAATGAAACAGAAAATTAGGTCAAAAGAACGGTCGTAGAAGGGGCAAAAGTTGAGCCTTTAAAAAGACATAAAAGAGGAAAAATTTGTAAATAAGATTTTGCATGGCAGAAGACATCAAAAACATAAATACAGGTGACAAACTCGGAAACATTTGTCTACATGTTCATTCCACAAATTTTATTGAGCACCTACCATGTGGGCAGCACCAAGGATATAGCGGTCAACAGAAAGTGACGAAAATCCCGACCCTCTTGGAGCTTATATTGTGGTGGGGAGACACAGAATAAAGAACTAAGTAAAACATATAGCCTGTTAGAGGATGATAAAGACTTGAAGTAACTGAGGGAGCAAGCAAGCCATCCTGTAGGGAAATCATTACAGCTAGAAAGTATGAGTCAAAAAGTCCTGGGGCAGGAGCATGTCTGCCTATTGAGGGAATAGCAAAGAGCCAGTGTGTCTGGAGGCAGAAACAGAGTGAATAACAGAG